TAGCTTTCCATCAACATATCTCATCGCGACATTGCATCACATCATATCACAAAATATCTTGCATTTGCACATCATAATGAAGTCAAATTCAAATCTTTACCAATATCAAGTTTGACACATACCTAAGATCTACCTAAGACTCTACCAATTGCTTGTTTCAACAACTCATGTCAAACACAAAAATCTATACCACTCGTGATTGAGTTAAACTTTCTCATATCCTCATGAATTTTACCACCATGATACACATGATCAAACTTGCTATACTGCCACGAGGCAAATCCAAACCAGGCTATACTGCCACAAAAAAAAAACCATGTCATAGCGCTACCATGATCTAACCAACCCCAAATCAGGCTATACCTCCATGGGAACAAGATAGAACCATATCATGCTATACCGCCATGGATAAAACCCTAAACCAGGCTCTACCGCCACAGGACCACAAAACCCCAAACCAGGCTATACCGCCATAACAGAACCGAATGCAGGCTATACCGCCACACATAAACCAATGTAGGCTATACCGCCATACAAAAATCCAAAGTAGGTTATACCACCACACAACAAAACCTAAATACCAACACAGGCCCTACCGCCAAGATACCTAAATACCAACTCAGGCTCTACCGCCAAGATACCTAAATACCAAATCAGGCTCAACCGCCAAAATACCTAAATACCAACACAGGCCCTACCGCCAAAATATCTAAATACCAACTCAGGCCCTACCGCCTAAATACCAACACAGGCCCTACCGCCCACGATACCTAAGAACTAACTCAGAACCTACCGCCACGATACCTAAGAAAGAAGACAAACCCTACCGCCACACAAAAAGACCAATGCAGGCTATACCGCCATGAAAGGAAACCAAGTCAAGCTATACCGCCATGGGGAACAAAATAGAACCAAATCAGGCTATACAACCATGGATAAAAACCTCAAATCTGGCTCTACCGCCATGGGACCATAAAAATCCAAATCATACTATTCTCACACTTCACTTCACTTACCTTTCAGTACACGACATAATCGTACTCATCCTACGATTTTCCACTCATTACCAACGTCGCCATGCATTGATTGTCTAGCCTGTCATATCCTGGATGATCACAGAGCTTTGCCATCAATAAATGTTCAGCATGTCATACCCCGAACAACTTGAGTGCATTATTATAAAAAATGTCTAGCATGTCATATCCCGGACAACCCTATAGCATCGTCATCAATAATTGTTTGTCATGTCATACCCTGAACAATTTGATCGCATTGCCTAACAAATGTCTAGCATGTTATATCCCGGACAACCCTATCATACTACCATTAATAAATGTTCAGCCCGAAATACCCCGAACATTACGATTGAATTTTTATTTCAATTATTATACCCTTGACAACTTGAATGATTCCTTATACCATCTTTCAACTTGTTTAGCTAGTTTTCCCCCAAACAATTTGAATGAATCATCTTTCCAAACAATAGATTCACTACTAACACTGTCAAAATGTGATGCTTAAAGAAACTTTGTATACCTCTCTAAATCGAGAAACATACAAAGGGGGGCAACTGTAGACACCACATTTTGTCCGGGCAATTTACTAATTATGGCACCAATTTAAAGGAGTATAAAGCTCGCTTTGTTTTGGATTAGCAATAGCAAATATTAAACATCCTTTGTTTTGAACTTGTATCTTGGTGACATGCGTCATTATTTTGTTTAATCAGACTTGGCGCAAGGTTAAACAAGTTTAGCAATAGCTAATTTTTGTCAATTTAATAGTTTTTATCCATCAACGTTTGTCTTTGAGAATTTGGACCTTGATTTTGGAATGATTAATAAAGGAAAAGAAATTTTATTAAGATTGTCATTAAAAATAAGTACATTGTAATTACAAACTCATACACTCTCTTACCTTTAATTACAGTAGTAATGGTACAAATAAAAGACCAAAGTCCAAGCCCAAATTCAAATCCCAGCCAAGTCAACAGAAGTCCAGGTCCAACCCAACTAAAATTCATACCAGTCAACTTGGCCCAACCAGTCGAACCACATAACCAAGAACCAAACCGGTCGAACCGAACTGGTCCGACCGAACCAGCACATGGTTTACGTAATTTTTTTTCTATAAAAAGAGCCTCTTGCTCTTTGTTTTGAGGGGGCGGCAACCACATCTTATCGGCTGTCCACTTCCTCTTTCCTGATCCACAGAGCAAAAAAGCTGGCAAAAACAGAATTGATCTTCTTCTCCCCAAGCTTCCTGTCCTCGTTTCTTCTTCTCCTTTTTCCAAAAAACAGCGGAGAAACTCTGCAAAGTTTCACTTCCTTCCCCTGTTAAACACAACAAAAGAGACAAACAGAAACACCGACTCCCATAACCATTCTCAGCTTTAATTTTCTACAGAAGGCCAAAAAGGGAAGTACAAAAAGACCCGCCACAAGAGGGCAATAAGTTTCCAGCAGCCAAACCAAGCAAAGACAGAGGAAAATAGCTTCATCCCCTCCCCCAAACTACAAGAACAGGTAGGTATCCTAAATCTTTTTCATTTTACATCATCATCATTTGCATCACCGGGTCTAAGGCTAGTTATCTAAGGTTTTCTCAAAAACAAATCAATCAATTCCAAGCAAACACTGCCATACTGTTTTTATATAAAAGAGGAATCTCAATCTACCACCAATCAAACTACAAACGACCAAATTGATTTAAAAAGACATCAAACTTAATCAATCAGTCAAATTACAATCTGCTCTTATAAATCTTAAAAGCAATGATACTGAATCCACTCCAAGCAAAATACAAGAGGACATACTTCACCATATTAGCAAAGCAACCAACACATAAGATTTATTGCTTTCCTTCTAAGGCTTTTGTCCACGCCTATTTCATCTTGTTATTTTAATACTTTCATGCTTAAGCTCATGCTCATTACAAGCAATAGATCTGCTTTTTTTTATCGTTGTTTCTCTCTTCTCAGTTTTGTTTATTGTACTAACCATATATAAATGCTAAACTAACACCCAACTCATGCCATATGCAAAGGTAGATTCGGTTAATACTAATAAGCTAATACAAACTAAAAAACTTATAAGACTCGATTATATGAAGCTATTTTAGAATAGCTCTCTCAGTTTTAAGGGCTCATGTCTAACCATAGCAAACCCCATATTTCATCCAACACAAACTCAAAGAACCCAAATTTGAAACTAAATCAACGAAAGACGAAGTAACCACAAGCAATAGCAGTGGTTTATCATTTAACACGTAACTTCAATAATTTTGATTTTTTTGTTTTAACCATGTCTTGGAAACCTTAATTGAACCTTTCTGATTTGAGTGTTCAAAACCAATCATAACAAGGTTAAAATCCTTACCCTAGCCTACCAAAACAGATTTGGTAGGCATAACTAAATCCAAACAAGAACCACGCCAAACTAAGCATCAATAAAAAGCAAACCTAAAACCCACCTTTGTCGCCGTCGTCACCAGCATCGACAATACAGCCGTCGGTGTTCTCGCCGGTAGTCCTCTGTAGTAGCTTCCCCTTATTCTCCTTTACCGGACCTCAAAAATAAAATCCAAAAACGAAAATCACAATCCTAATATCTCCAACAAGATCCCCTAAAAATCAGAATCACAACCCAGAAAACAATCAAAAAGCTTATCAGAAAGACCCAAAATCAAAGCAATCAAAACCCAGAGAGTATAAAAATCCAGAATCGTAACAAAAACTAAATTTAACTCACCTACCCATCGTGTCAGTCGTCGGCGGTTTCACCGGAACTCGCCGACGACTCTTCTTCTTATCCCTCGGCTCTTTTCCCCGATACCAGCATTGCCGAGCTCATCGCTGTCGAAAACCAAGTAGGCGTCCCTTTTCTTCTTCCCTCGCGAGAACGAATACCGCAAAAATAACCAAACATAGTCAGAATCCTGAACCTGAAAAGATCGAGTCTCCAAACAATCCTAAACAACCAAATCGAACCCCTAAATCCGACATGCAAAATAAACAAGCAGAGAATCTTACCTCCTCCGCTGTCGCCGTCGCTAGTACCAACATCGGCGTCGATCTTCTTGTCGCCGTCGTTCGAACCATCATTGGCTATACCGCCGCTACCGCCGTTGACTTCTTCCTTTCCCCTCGTCGTTTCCAAAAAAAGAGGTGGCGATAGAGAGATCGAGAATGAGAGGGGAGGAAGATGGAAGAAGCAGAGAGGGTTCCATTTCTCTTCCGTTTTTTTCAGAGAGGAAGAGCGAGAGATCAGAAAAGGAGGGGGGTGAGCGGCCGTTCGTTTGGAATGGATTAGGTTTAGGAATTTCTTGTTAAAAACAAATATATACTTCGACGGGCTAGATGACGGTTTTACCCCTAGGGTTATCCCCATTTTACGCAGCCTTGCCACCGTTTTTTTGATCATTTACCAAAACACCCTCGCTTTGGTGTCTGTAAAAAACGAGATTGCTTAAAAATCTCCCCTGGGATTCGAACCTGTGATTTCGGCCTTCTTAATGGCCAAAGTCACCAATTTAACCAGTAGGTAAATGGTTAATTATATCTACACATTCACTACCATATTAAGTACTAATGATTTATAAAGTTTAAACCCTCGCAAACTTAAATCAAACAAGACAAATTCTCTAATTTATCTCGCTTTAAGATTATTCTAAAAACTGTTAAAAATCCCTAATATCAAAGTATTTAATCTTCTTTTGAAAGGTGATTGATCACAAGTTTACTTTGTTTGGAGACCCTTAATACGAAATCATGGTCAATAGACCGCGATAGTCATTTTCGTTGAAATTCTTCCAAAGGCAATCTAACATTCAATTACTAAATTGAAAAGTCATAAAACCATTTCCTAATAACTCAAATCATCTTAATCGCGATCTATAGAACGTGTTTAAGATCACAACATTTAAAACTTCAACAATCGAACTACGTGGACTTTGATTCCGACTACTCGGGTACGTAGGCAACTAATAGGTTCGAGTCCAACTAATTTTTAAACTTTTTCTTTACATTCGAGATTTACGTCAATAGATGTATGATCGAATTGTAATACTAAACACCTAATTAACTTAATCATAAAATTAAATACATCAATAAAGCCGCAAATAATGAGACACCCAACCTTTAAAAAACTTATCGATTTAAGTAGTACCCATTTGGGGCGTTGTGGGGTGTGAATACACTTCCCCACACGTAACCGTACTCCCGAACCCATAAACCTAAAATTCGCAGACCAGATTTCTGGTTTTAACCTAAATAACAAAACCGGAAATGGGTGTTCGACCCACCCCGATTAAGGTCGATGGCGACTCCGACCAATGACGCGACGGTTCCCTTTCGATCGCGAAGGGCGGTTGCGACAGCAACTATAGCCAATTACCCGTGTTCATATTATCCCAACTTTACCTACAACGGATCATATCCCTCGATTTGTGGTGGACCTTAATGTTGTACTTTGAGTTGGTGAATTAAGAAATGCGTTTGATTTATTTGCAAAGGAATTATCAGAAACTTGGAGTTGACGATGAACACTCTACTCTAATTAAAATTTTTAGATCCGGACTACTGAGGCTACAAAATCACTTTTCTCTGAAAAGCTCAGGAAATTGTTTTGGGTCAATAGCGAACTCAGGGCCACCCTTAGCGCCGCCACCAGCAGCAGAAACGTCCCCTGCCGTCACCGCGGCGGCGCCATCACCACCGTCGTTTCCCCTGCGGCCATTGAAAACCTTGTCATCCCCATAGTTGGCCCGCCACGGCTGGTTCTGATAATTCCCGCGCCCACGTCCACGTCCAGCCATGGATTGGTTGTCAAACCTCTCGCCATTGCTATAATTCCGCCGGTCCTGGTATTGATAGTTCGCCTTCTTCTTCTTCTCTGCCTCTTCTTTCTTCTTCTTCGATACATCAGTTTCCTCCTCCCTCTTCTTCTCCACGAGTTGCATCGATTCCAAATCCTCGTCGACCCTCACTTGCCTTGCCTCGCCGCTTTTCAAAGCTTCCTTCTTTTGCAACTGAAGCTTTTCATACTCTTTAAGAGTCATCAGTTTCTGCATTTGAATTTGATTGATCTTACCCTGTCATTTGGTATTCACCCAAATCATGGGAAACAAACTATTGGGGGTATAATGAGCAAGGCCCAAGTGGGGGGCAAGACCTAAGTAAACTTGGGCTCCCAAACAGCTCAAGTGGGGGGCAAGGCCCAAGTAAAGGGGATGTCACATGAAGACAAGGCACAAGAGGCCAAGGGAGGCCAGGCTGTCATGTGGTCCAGCGCCTGCGGGCGCCTGTCACATGCCAGGAGTCTGACAAGGTGGTTGGATGTCTGGCCAGAAAGAGACAAAAGCATTGAATGAAGGCAGGGAGGCAGAGAGGATCAACCTCGAACTCTGGTAAGTATAAATAGGGGCAGTTGGTAGCATTTACGCAGGTTGGATTCTCTCACGCAAACTCTAGCTTTGAGACTCTTCTCTCTTCCTAGAAACTAACTTGGGCGTCGGAGGATTAACGGGCCAAGGCGCCCCCTCCTTGTTAGTGTGTGCAGATAGGCGCCTGGCGAAAGAGGATTCAGGTGAATCTGGCAAAGGGTATCAAGTCTCAAACAATTGGCGCGCCAGGAAGGGGAATATAGCCAGGAGCCATGAGTGAAGAGGCGCCCATGAACGAAGAAAGGGAAGAAATTACGTAAGAACAGTCGGAGCGAATGAGAGGGCAGACGCCCGAGGAGGAAGAAGGTGAAGGAAGTGAAGGCACGTTGCGGGGATCCGAAGGCGCCTCAGTCACGAAAAAAGAATTGTTCCGGATCATTGAGAATCAAGATGAGGCGATCGAGGCGCTGCGGCGTGAAGTTGACGCCTTGAGAAGGGGTGAAGGGATGACACCCAGCCCGACGAAGAAAAGAGAAAGGGCGGAAGAGACGGAGATTGAATCGAGGTGCCCGAGGCGTCCCGGCCTATGGCGCCCACGTGATCACGGGGCGCCTGACGATAGTGGATGGAATGGAGGAATATTGGGGCGCCTTTCACGCCACTGTCCTGTGAGGCAGCCTCTGGCGCGTTGCATATTATCGGAGCCAGCCGGAACCAACATTCCCCCACTCCCAGCTTATGACGGGACTGGAGACCCCGAGGACCACCTCAACGGATATTTCACCAAAATGCAACTCTATAATAGCACAGATGCCACACTATGTAAGGTGTTTCCGTCCACCTTTTCGGGTGTGGTTCTCGATTGGTATCATCAGATCGGTGAAGGGCGCATCGACTGCTTCGAACAGTTCGCAGCGATGTTCTTGGCGAAGTTTGCCAGCAGAAAAAGGCGCTCCTTGACCATAGGCGCCTTGTTTAAGGTCAAGCAGAAAGAGGGAGAGGCGTTACGGGAATTTTACGAGAGGTGGCTATCTGTGGCCTTAGCAGTGAAGGACGCCCAGCCGTCGGTGCTGGGGGTGTGTCTGAATGAGTGCACCTCCAGTGAGGAGTTGTGCAGGGCGCTTGCGAAGAGAGATGTGGTGTCCACAGAAGACCTGGATTATAGAGTGCAAAAGGTAATTGTGCTGGAGGAGACATTAGAGGCCAGGAGGGCAGATCGGAGGAAGGCACGAGTAAAGGAGGTCGAGGTACCAAGGAGGCAGTACCCAACGAGCGGTTCGGGCTATGCGCCCACGAGCCAGCCGCCGCCAAGGAGGAACGATATGGGGCGCCAGGCGCCTAGAGGGGCTGGGCCCTTCGCCGAGTATAACGACACCCTGAAGAATGTGCTCCAGCACGTCAAGGACAAGGGATACCACATCAGGTGGCCAGGCCCGATGCGGGGGCAACCCAACGAGCGGAACTTGGACCGATACTGCGACTTCCACCGTGAGATTGGGCACTACACAGCTGATTGCTACCAACTTAAGACAGAGCTACAGGGTCTCGCGGACAGAGGAATGCTCAATGACTTCATCAGAAAGCCCGAGGAAAGAGTGCATAGGGCGTGTGTGGCTGGAGTAGTGAGAACAGGGGAGGAGCTGCCGCCACCACCCTATGACTTGGACCAAGAAAAGGCGCCTGACCGCGTGCGCCTGACGATCGAAACCATTTCAGGGACAATGGATCTGAGGGAGAAAATAGAAGCGAAGCGTCGGTTGAGGGCGGCGTCGGCAGATGTGCAGGAGTCGATCGACATTAGCTTCAACAAGGCGCCGGAGGAGGCGTGTATGCTCCCGTCCATGGACGCCTTGGAGATACAAGGGGTAGTAGCCGGATGCAGGGTAAGGAGAATGTTGGTAGATACAGGAAGCTCCATGGATGTGCTGTTCAAGGATACGGTGGTTCGCATGCAACTATCCCCAGAGATGATCAGACCATCGGAGTCGGTACTAGTAGGCTTTTCGGGGGCGCCTGCCAGAGTGATTGGGCGGGTATGCCTGCCCGTCACGCTGGGAGATGGGGAGCAAAAGGTGACGCGCGCCATAGACTTTGGGATAGTGGACTGCCCTTCACCATACAATGCGATCCTTGGGAGACCGCTTCTGGCTTTGTTTAATGGGGTGGCCTCCACTTGTCATCAGACCTTGAAGTTCATTGCCCCGCAAGGGGTGGGCGTGGCCCGAGGACGAGGCGCCCCGCGTTACGCGAAGGAGACAGGGCGCAAGCGAAGGCACGTCGAGGCGAGAATCAATGTAATGGAAGTAGGGGAAGACGAGGCGCCCCGAGCCGAGGCGGCCGATGAGGACCTTTTGATAGCGTTGGAGGAAGGGCGCCCAGAAAGGTGCGTTAGGATCTCGGCAGAGGCGCTTGCCGAGATGATGGAGCGACTCATCGTGCTTCTAAAAGAGTTCGCAGAGCTTTTCGCGTGGAGTGCCACGGAAATGCCGGGCGTCAAACCCGAAACAGCAGTGCACAGATTAGCGGTTGAGGAAGGGAGACGTCCTGTGCAACAGAAGCGCAGGAACTTATCGCCGGAAAAAGAGGCAGCCCTAAGGGTTGAGGTGGACAAGCTTATGGACGCCAACTTGGTGGAAGAAACTTCTTATGTTACCTGGCTGTCGAATGTGGTGTTTGTGCCCAAGCCGTCGGGCGACTGGAGGATGTGCGTGGATTACACAAGCCTCAACAAGGCGTGCCCAACGGACGCCTACCCAATGCCACGGATAGATTTGCTGGTGGACTCCACGGCATACCACGAGATGCTGAGCTTCGTGGACATGTTTTCAGGATACCATCAAATCCCCATGGCAGAGGAAGATCGGCCCAAGACGGCTTTCATGACGCCTTTCGGAAACTTCTGCTATCGGGTCATGGCCTTTGGGCTCAAGAACGCGGGCGCCACATATCAAAGGATGGTCAACAACGTCTTCCGGCAGCAAATTGGCCGGAATGTGGAAGCTTACGTGGATGACCTCATAGTCAAGAGTCGGAAACGGGAAGACCACATTGGAGACTTGCGAGAGACATTCCAGGCCATGAGGGCGCATAGGCTCCGGCTAAACCCCCTCAAGTGCGTATTCGGTGCCGAAGCGGGAAAATTTCTGGGATTCATGATCACCAAAAGAGGTATAGAGGCCAACCCGAAACAAGTGGATGCGATCCTTAAGCTGACCCCCCCAAAGACGCCCAAAGAAGTGCAAGGCCTGGCGGGCATGCTGGCAGCATTGGGGCGCTTCATCCCCTGGTCCGCAGACAAGGCCGCCCCTTTCTTTCGAACGCTTAAAAAGGCGGCCCGTTTCCAATGGATCACCGAGTGTGACGGAGCATTCGAGGAGTTGAAGCAACTATTAAGCGCCCCAACCGTGATGACGGCGCCTAAGGCGGGAGAGCCACTATACCTGTACATTGCTGTGTCGGAGGTGTCGGTAAGTGCAGTGCTCGTCACAAGAGGAGCCCACTCTGGAGAGGACAGACCGGTGTACTACGTCAGCCGCACTATGGTTCCCCACGAAAGGCGATACGCGCCCATTGAGAAGGCCGCGCTGGCGGTTGTGATGGCTACAACCAAGCTTAGACCTTACTTCCAAGCTCACACCGTCACAGTCCTTACCAACCTCCCTCTGAAATCCACGTTGGGGTCAATGGATGTGGCCGGGCGCCTCGTCAAGTGGGCAGTCCAGCTAAGCGAGTTCGATGTCAGATATGCGCCTCGACCAGCCATCAAGGCCCAAGTCCTGGCCGACTTTGTAGCGGAAGGAATAGCTGAGACCGAGAAGGGGACAAATGATTGCTGGCAAGTCCAAGTCGATGGAGCGGCCAGCCGTACGGGCGCCGGAGCAGGAATTGTGATGATAAGCCCGGGAGGTGCGATGCACGAGGTAGCGCTGCGATTCGCCAACTTGAAAACAAACAACGCTGCAGAGTACGAGGCGGTGATCGCCGGCCTGACCATGGCTAAAGAGCTGGGCGCCCACAAAATCCAGGTCAAGTCCGACTCGGCCCTCGTCGTCAACCAACTTAACGGAGCATTCGAAGTAAAGGAGGAAGCACTAGAAGTGTACGTGCAAAGGGTCAGAGAGCTGGGAGCCTGGTTTGGGGAAATCTCCTTCATACACATCCCGCGTGAGGAAAATGCGCATGCAGACGCCCTATCAAAATTGGCCACCGCAGTAGAGTTTGCAGAGGATCGGAAGGTCATTGTCACTGCGGAAGTACCCCGCCAATATTTGGTCGCAACCTTGGGGGACGAAGGCGCCGGCTCAGGGTGGATGGCACCGATCATATTATTCTTGACCCAAGGAACAGTGCCGGAGGACCCAAAGGAGGCCTGGCACCTCCGTCGAAAGGCGGCCCGCTGCTCCATGATTGAAGGAACGTTGTATAAGAGGTCCCATTCGGGAGCATATTTGAGGTGTCTAAACGAGGAGGAAAGCAGAGGGACAATCGAAGAGGTGCATAGCGGGACGTGCGGAATGCACGCAGGGGCGCGCAGTTTGGAAAAAACGCTGCTGCGACAAGGTTATTACTGGCCAACGATGAGGCGGGACGCAAGGGCACACGTGGGCGCCTGTCACCAGTGCCAAATTCATGCAAACGACATTCATGTCCCGGCGGCGCCCATGCAGGGCAATGTAGGAGCCTGGCCTTTCGCCCAATGGGGCATGGACCTGTTAGACCCTTTTCCCAAGGCGCCCGGGCAAATGAAATACTTGATCATGGCAGTCGACTACTTTTCCAAATGGATTGAAGCTGAGCCCTTGGCCACTGTTACAGAAGCGCAAGTGCGAAAGTTCACCAAGAAAAACATATTCACCCGGTTCGGCCTACCCGAGTCCATTGTCGCAGACCATGGGAAGCAGTTCGATTGCAAGAA